ATTTTTTTTCTTTCACTTTCTCCCTCCTACGTAGGTAACAATGAAAATTACTGCTTGGTGGGCCCCTGCCTTTCTATGTTCCAATCCACTTCATCCCCGTCAGTTCTCCGTTCCGTTATCCATCCCTTCACTTCCCCCGACCCGTTACGCCGTTACCGCTCCATTTCACGTTATGCATTTGCATTTCCATTTACATTTCACTCGCATTTGCATTTCCACTCAAATGAACGCTCACTCTCAACTCTCTCTCTCTCTCTCTCACAGCATGCCTGCCTTTCACTTTCTCTAGATCTTTCCCTCTCGCTATATTTTCTCTCTCCACATATACATACATGTCCGCATTGTATATATAGAGAGTATTTTTATATATATATCCACATATATTTGAGCTAGACTAGACTAGAATTTATTTATACTTTTTTTTTAATGGTAGATATATAATTTATTTATAAAAAAAAAAAAATCGTTCGCTCAATCGTTGTCGGAGTTGGAGTGAGTGAGCAACCATGGAGATGATCCACTTAGGAAGCGAAGCTCCGATTGGCTCCGGTCGCTTTTCTCTCTCTACCTCTGCATACATATCTACCGCCGGAGGTCGATGAAATGAGAACGGAAAACCAACTGCTTTCTCCGGTCTGTCTCCGCGGATCTATGAAAAGATGCGCCTTGATGATTGGTAAGCTCCGGCTTGAATCCTTTTCATCGCGTCCTTCTTTGATCTGTTGCTGATCAACTCTTGGCTTAGCTCCCAAGTTGACTTCGATTGACTAGATTTTAGTGTTTTTTTTTTTTTTTTTTTTTTTTTTTTTTTAATTACTTGTGGGGGGAGCTGTAAGAAATCTGTGAGTTTTACTGAGAAATGTGAACGTTTATGATGATTGCTGTGTGTGTAACGTCAAAATATGGATTTTGTGGCTCAGCTTTTTTTCCATGTTTGCTGAGGATTTAATCTTTGGAAATACGTGCTGCGAATCGTGGGGAAAATGACACTGCTTTGGAATAAATATATGTTGATAGTATGAGATGCTATTCTTGTTATTATTGTCTTATCTTTTAAAAGATTTCTTCTTTTGTAACAGCTTATTCTTCAGTTAGTGGTGTGTTGACATAAATCTTCTTTGTTGGATGTCCGAGAGAGCTCTAGTGGGGAATCAATCTTTATAACTCATGATAATGAAATCGATATGATTTTTTTAATCGTGGGTTGGGGGAATCGCCGGTTTGTCTGCTTGCTTTTTGTTTGTTCCTTGATAAATAAAGCCAGGGGGTGGGGGTGGGTTGTTGGAGATGGCATTGATATGTTGAAGACTTTTGTGTAGTTGTTGACTTTTAGAAGAGGAGACATTTTCTAATGTATGTATGCTGTTCATCCTTTATATTACCCCTCCTTTACTTGTTTTCTTTGATTCATCAATCATGTGTTTTAGTGTTACCCAATCTTGTAGTTTTGTTCTTCAAACTCTTTTTGGCTTGATCTGTTTGAGAGACTTTTAAGTTTTAAGTAACTAGTCCATGATATATTGATCAGCAAAGAAGCACTAGTTCTTGGATTGGTTTTTGTTTTATTGTGTTCAAGAAGTTTATTAGAGATGGTTGATTGACTTGCAGTTTACTGAAGAAGCATGTCCGGTGGCCCGGAGCAATCCAAGTATAATTTGTCTACCGATTGGTCTAACTCTGATAATATGAAGGACATGAGCAAGCTGAGTGTTGAGACTGATGATTCTTTTTCGAGTTTGCTTGAACTTGCTGCCAACAATGATTTGGATGGTTTTAAGCGATGTGTTGAGCGTGATGGTTCTGCAGTTGATGAGGTTGGGATTTGGTTAGTGCGGAAGAAAGGTGCAAAGCAGATTGTTAAGGAGGAAAGGAGTCCGTTGATGGTTGCTGCCATGTATGGTAGTATTGATGTCTTGAAGTTTCTTATCTCTCTTCCTGAGGTTGATGTTAATAGAGCTTGTGGCCCTGACAAGTGCACAGCTCTTCACTGTGCTACGTCGGGTGGGTCTGTTCATGCTGCTCAAGTGGTCAAATTGCTACTTTCTGCTGGGGCTGATCCCAATATCGAGGATGCTAATGGTCAGCAGCCAGCTGATGTAATTGTTGTTCCTCCCAAGTTTCCAGGTGCTAGAGCTTCTCTTGAAGAACTGCTTTTGAACAATATTTCTGATGGATCAGTTGGGGAATGCAATTTACGGGTTCATGTCACTACTTCAAATGGTTCCTCGCCTGATCTATCTTTGTCACCATGTTCACCATCAGAGTCTGCATCTTATCCCCTAACATCGAAGTTTGGTGATGTTCCTGCAAATTCTGTGCAAGAGAAGAAGGAATACTCGATCGATCCATCTCTTCCTGACATCAAGAACAGCATCTATTCCACTGATGAGTTCCGCATGTTCTCCTTCAAAGTGAGGCCTTGTTCTCGGGCCTATTCTCATGACTGGACCGAATGCCCTTTTGTGCACCCGGGAGAGAATGCCCGCAGGAGAGATCCTAGGAAATACCATTATAGCTGTGTGCCATGTCCTGATTTTCGCAAGGGCGCCTGCAGGAGAGGTGATATGTGCGAATATGCTCATGGAGTCTTCGAATGCTGGCTACACCCAGCTCAGTATCGCACACGCTTATGCAAAGAGGGCACCAGCTGTGTAAGGAGAGTTTGCTTCTTTGCCCACATGCCCGAGGAGCTTCGCCCCCTGTATGTTTCAACGGGATCTGCAGTTCCATCTCCTAGGTCCACTGCCGCCACAGCTACTGTCATGGATATGGCTGCAGCACTGAGTCTACTTCCCGGCTCGCCCTCCTCACACTCTATGATGTCTCCTGCATTTAATCAACCTATGTCTCCCACTGCCAATGGGATGTCTCATTCATCTCCTGCCTGGCCTCAACCGAATATTCCAACTCTGCATCTGCCAGGTAGTAACCTTCAATCGAGTCGCCTGAGGTCTTCCCTCAGCGTGCGGGATATTCCCCGCGAGGACTTGAACATGCTGCGGGATTTTGATGCCCAGCAGCAACTGGTTCTTAACGACATGGCTTGTTTTTCACAGCCACGTACCGGTTCTGCCTCTTTTAGTCGCCCCGGCTCTGGCTGTACTAACACCCTAACCCCTTCAAACCTTGATGAGTTATTTTCTGCTGAGATAGCCTCCTCCTCTCCTCGCTATTCTGACCAGGCTGCTTTCTCACCTTCACATAAATCGACCATTTTAAGCCAACTACAGCAACAGCAGCAGAGCATGCTTTCCCCAATCAATACCAACATGTTCTCTCCCAAAAATGCTTCCTTTGGGGTTTCATCAACAGGAAGGATGTCACCAAGAAGCGTGGAGCCCATCTCCCCGATGAGCGCCCGCCTTTCTGTTTTCGCTCAGCGTGAGAAACAGCATCAGCAGCTACGCAGCCTGAGCTCTCGGGATCTTGGCTCCAACAACCACAACACCTCTATTGTTGGGTCCCCAGTGAGCAATTCTTGGTCTAACTGGGGTTCCCCCAGTACAAGACCTGACTGGTCCTTCAACGGCGATGAACCAAGCCATCTCCGTAGATCATCTTCTTTCGAGCGGCTCAACAACAACAACAACAGCGAGGAGCCCGATCTGTCATGGGTCCAATCTCTTGTCAAAGAATCACCACCTGAGATGAAAGATAAGTCTGCAGCGCCAGCTCCCCGGGGCGCTGTTCCATCCGGTGAGGGTTTAAAATTCAGTACTCAGACTGATTCCATCGATCAATCTGTTATAGGTACTTGGCTTGAGCAGATGCAACTCGATCAACCCGTAGTCTAGTGGGAAGAAGAAGAAAGATTCATTTTCACCTTATTCTTAGGGAAGCATGTAGTGTACTACTACTGTTTTGGAGGTAAATTTTTTTGGCCGCCGGTGGAATCAAATGCAGAATCCGGTAAGCTAAAGGCAAAATTTCCCAGCAAGTTTTCATTACATTTCATTTGATTATATCATTATTTGTTCAAATACATCTTTAATGTTTCAAATTGTTGTCTGGGCTTGCATCAAACATCCCCAGTCCTGGCATGTTGAATTGCCTTTATGTATGATGTAAAACTCAAATGAAATTTGTAATATTTATCTGATACATCAACTTTTTTCCCCACATACATTTCTATATTATGTTTCTATGTTCAGTATCTCTATCACTATGAGACTAATTTGAATTCAGTTCAGTTCTAATCTCTATCATTACGAGATTAATTCAAATTCAGTTCGCATATCTATTGTTTGAGTGGGACAGCTGGTCTGGAGATTTAAGACGGCTCTTAAATTAAGGATGAATGAGTTTCTTCCACTCAATTACACCCAGGTTCAGAAGCATATTATGACAATTGATTGATAGCAGATTGTAGACATTTATAATGGGGTCTCCATATGTACGTAGTTCTCTTGGATTGACACTAATTCTCTTTATAAATCTTGTCGGTATTATTTGACCTAGATTTATGTACTTAACTTTATTATTTCTTCTCCCCTCATGTGAAGCAAAAAAACACACAAAAAGTAGGGTAATTTGGTAAGGGTATCTGAACCCTTGAAAAAGCAATATGGGTATTATTTACAGCATGTTGTTATTTTTTAAAAAATTAGCATTCACCAGCTTTGTGATAGCAAGATGTGGGACCCAAGATAGCAACTTCCATTAAAATCTACCAATTGCCATGCAAGGTCGGTGATAAGGAATTGACGTTTAGTACCATACAATAATAATATTATTAAAAATAGTAATAGTCGGTAGAGGATGGGGAACTTGTGTCGCACACCTAGGTGACAATTATATTACTTGTACACACATAAAAAGGAGAGCTATGTAGTGTGATAACATCTCTATTACCATTTTAAATGATTGATCATATGATTAAACTATGATGAGGTATTGATTTTTTGAGCTGAAAAAAATTGAAAAAGTATAAAATAAATACTACATTGTAAATAAGTTTATCTGAAACTCAATTTTTTTTTTTTGGGATCTCTTGCGAGAAAATCAAACCACTATACAAAATGTTTATATACAAAAAAGAAGAAAAAAAAAAGATAGAAAGGTTCACTATCCTTAAAATATGATAGACATTCTTTTGGGGCTGAAAATAGCTGCATTATGTTTTCCAATTGGGAGATGATATAAGTGGTGGTTATCCTTCTTCTTCACCTTGCTGAGGTATGTAGCTTTCAATGCCAAATTTTCAGAGGTAGAAGGCAACAATGGTTGTTTGCCACGTCTCCAAACATGGTTGGAAAACAAGTACTCTATATTAATTGCATGCTTGTGTATATAAATTCGATTTGCAATTATTATTTTTATTTGAGGTGTGTACTGCATAAATTCTGTTCGTGAATATCTGAACAAAGGATTACAATAAATTAAATATATAATAATTGGTCATATTTGACGGGCTTAAATCAAGAAAGCTAATAATCGCTTGCCTGAAAATCAAATTTGTAATTAATTTTGTGTTTATCGAGTCGACAAGATTTCTGTTTGGCAGGGATAGTGACATGAGAGTTGAGCAAGGGATTCAGGTGGAAGAATCTGGGCCATGCAAACCAAACATCCAACGGCTGCTATATCAAACTTTCCAGTCTCATCATCCAGACAACTTTCACATAAAAATCAAGAAACTTAACCCCAAAACCTCCATTTTCTTCCCTTCTTGTCACCCATATCTGATCTATACACTTCAGATATGCTGGAGATGTTGTTTGCAGTGGCCATTTCAGTCTTCCCTCTCACACTTTATATTCCTCCCTTGAGAAGTTTGAACTCACTTGTAGAGAGCATGGAGGGGATTCTCAGAGAATGGGTATCAGACCTCCTAGAAATATTGTTTCCTCTTATCTAGCTAGGTTGTCTTAGTCCACATATACATACCTATAATTACATTAGCAGTTCGATTACAAACTGTTCTAAGTTGAATCTTTGTAAGTATATACTATTTCTCTTTTGACAAGTTTGGGTAAGGCTGTAAATTGTAATAGTTGATTCTTGGTGAAGATTCCCACCAATTTGAGCTGATCAGTTATGAACAATTGTTTATCTTTTGCCTTTTGTGATCTTTTGCTAATTAAAGTTACAAGACAAGCTTTATCCAAAACATATCTTTAAATAGCAATTGCGGGTTTTTTTATAAATCGAAGAATTATAAGATGTTGGTTACAACTTATTTTCCCTCAAATAACAGAAAGAAGCCAACATCTAAGGATTTCTATGAGTAAACAAAGAAAGAAAAGAATGAATGAATGATCTTAGAATTAAAGAATATAGTATGCAGATTTAGGTTGAAAGTGTGCAGGGCTTTAAGAACCAGAAGACATCTAACCCTCTTGCTTCACTTTCAATCACAGCAGAAGAAGCTTCTTTAATCTTGTTTCCAGGTTCCTCCTTTCTATCATTCCTGCTACTTTTTCCCAACTCTTGGAGAATTCCTCTTCCCTGCATCATCTCCTAAGCCGAAAATTCAAAGAATTTATGTATGAAATGGATGAACTTTAAGTATCATCATTTAGAAATGCAGACATACCGGAGGCCTTGAGCGAAAAGCCTTAGGAGGTGGAGTAGCTTTGGTTGATCCGGCTGAGAAACATTGAGGCGTTGGAGGGCATGTCCGGATTTGTGATGATAAGCTCTCGTCCCCAGTCCGCTTAGCGCTCTTCACATCAATGGTGATTGGGGTGTTTTCTGCATTTTCATTTCTTCTGCATAGATATAACAATGGTTTTGACTTGCATTAGGCTTGTTAAGAGTTCCAGATTCAAAATATAAGAGAGAACATATGAGTTTATAAGGCCATGAGTTAAACTAGCTAATTAATTGGATTCAATCTTTTAGTGTGGTTTGGATCATGTGCATTATAGCCCAGTTGAGTCACACCTTCTCTGCTTTTCTTTGAGAATGTTCTTTCCCATTGTATCATTCTTCTTTAGCAGTGGAGTCTTCTCCTTTCCACTCTCAGCTAAATCTTTGTTTTCATCACTAAACCCCTCTTTCACCACCTGTTTATTCACCATTAATGGAGTCCTCTCCACAGTCTCATTCCCAATCCTCTCTTTCTCCTTAGCCCTTGCTGTCAACTTCTTCAACTCGTTACAAAACTCCGTCACCCGGCTAAGCAAATCCACACCAGAAAACAGATTCCTCGCAGAATTGGTGCTTCTCAACCTTGGAGTCTGTTGTTCCTTTGGCAATGAGTTATCATCAACAGTCTTCTTCTCTGCACTCGACTTGATTGCCTCCTTCATAAGCTTAGCTTTGAATCGATGAGGAGTCTCCGTGTTCGGGTTCTGATTCTCACTATCGTCAAACATCCTATCATTCAACAAACTATTAGAGGTTGAATATGAAACTAAGTTGTTGTTTTTTTTTTCCCCTTCAATCTTATTAGCAGAAATACAGTGCACAAAGCTAGAGCAGCTGCTATTACCTTCGAATTCGCTCCCTGAAAAGAGGAATCTCAGAAACACCAGATGACTTCTGAAGCTTCAATGTCACAATTTTGAAAGAAGACATACAATTAGTCATAAAAATTAAAACTTTTCTATCAAAGACAGTACTCATTTGCCAAATTCAGCAGTAATCCAACGATATGAGGTAGAATTTACAAAAAGAAAAAAAAAATCTTGATTGTTGAATCTTCTACCTAGAGGAAATCAAGCATTACCCAATGAAATATAACTAGAACCATTCTTGAAACAAGCAAAATCACCAGATTATACTGCATTTTCTAACATTTCTCAAGAACCAAGCAGCTCAAAAGTATGAAACTTTGTTCTTTTTAACAAATTTAAGAAAACAGAAAAGGATAGAAACCTTTGGAGTTAGGGTTGCTGCAGCTTTATGGAAATCCTTTACAGTCTTGGGATGATTGCAATCTGAGCAACAGAAACAAGCCCGAAAAAAAACAAGTTAGTGAAATTAGCTCTTCTGTGTAATCACAGAGAGCAGAACCCAGAAAAGACGGTGGATTACCGGGCCGGCAGAACCAAGCTTCGTCGTCGACGAACCCATCGGCGGCGGAGAAATCCACCCACTGAGGAGCATTGAACCGTTCAAGGATGTCATCCTTCACAAACCTCGAATCCAAGTTCTTCCAATCAATTACAGCTACTTCCATTCTCGGGAATGCCAAGAAAGATGATCTGATTTGGGTTTTCTGATGCAAAATGGAAAGTGGAAATAATCTATCTGGGAAAGTGAATATATGAGTTTTTGCGTGGGAGCTCAAAGCTGACTGTTCAGACTATACAACCGTTGGGTTTCTCGGGGAGGATTTAGTGCTCATTTCCTTCTGACCGTTGGAGAATTTTTCATTTACACATACTTTTGGTAAATTCTGTTTTGGCCCCTAATGTATATTTAATTTTTGAGAAACTTTATGATTGACCCGCGAATATTAACTATCGTAAATTGAAAAAAGCGCTTCTACATGATTCGTAACCAAACAAGCTAACTAAGTTGGCATGAACTCGTGAAGAAATAGGTAAATGCTATTGACAATTGATCAAATACGTAAAAATTAAGTTATCCAATCAGCACACATATTAGTCTCTTTATGCATGAAGAATATATATAATTTCGCAAGTAAAACCTTTTTGTATCACATCTACCAAGTGATAGTGTGGATCTATGATATTATTGATGTTCTTAATTTTTTTTAATAGCGCTGCTAAAGATTAAATGGAGTGAAAAGTAAGAGTAAATTTTTCTAATGTACCAAATGACTTTTGTATACGATATAACCGTGTATGTTTGCTTTTACTAGTTACCTTAAAAATGAACATCAATTATACTTAATATAATTCAATAACTGATGTAGAATATACGAATGGTTTACGCTACGGTGTATGGTACTAGGTCAGTTCCGAACTCGAATCCTATGTCTAGTCTGCTTGTTGGTTTAAGTATTTAGGCTCGTATTACGTGACAGTGGGTTAGAGGTCTCCAAGCTAAAAATCCCTTAGTAGAAAATGTCAAAAGTCCCATTTGATAGCAATAAATGCGGTATTTATAGGGGTTCAAGTGGACAGGTCCTGCTCTCAACAGCATGTGTGGCACGTAGAGTTCATGCACGGGACCAGATCGGGGGTTAAGGGGCCTTGGTCACGTGCCCTGCTATTATTGAGTGCACTACGCTATGTCGCAGGGCACCAGTAGGTTAGTCCCAACCTAAGCAGGTCAGCACGCAAGTATCACGATGCTGCTTACGAGCACAGTCTTGGGAGAAGCTCGGTAGGCAAAATAAGGTCGGAAAGGTGCGAGCCTTAGGTCGGATCGGGCTTAGCCTGCACAGAGAGTTCGTTATCGATCGATACTCGCAGAATAATCCTCATCAATAATATAGTTACACTTGATATAACAAAGATGTCACACATTGACACATGGGTACCAAAAAGTTGTTATTTTTATATTTGTGAACACTAGACACCACTTTAAATATATGTGAGAGAGTCGATCATAATTTATTTCTCTACTATCATTTTGAATTTGAGTGTGAAAATTCCGGATTTTGTAGTTTTGTGGCCAAGAAATTCCATTTTTAGTATTATTACGTAAGAAATGCCCAAACGCGGCCCAATTAGTTTCCACAGTCCCGTTCTCTGGGAAGTCCCAAATCGCTAGAACATTCTGAGTTGTGACTCTACCATCGGCATAGCTCTGAGCTCTGGCGGCTCTGCTTCTGAGCTCCGGCTACTATTGAGGATTCTGAACCGTTTTACTGAACATCGCTCTCTTACACTACAACTTCCGAAATGGTCCGGTCCAACGCCGCCCGCCTTGCCTCCCGCCTCGCTCGCGCTTCCTTTTCGTCTCACCTTCTCGGCGACTCTTCTTCTGTACGCCTCTATCTCTCTCTCTCTCTCTCTCTCTCTCTCTCTCGCTCTCGCTCTATTTTGTATATGCTTATTATGACTATACTTACAGCATATGATGGTGAATTGGGGCGGATTGGTTCACAGGTTTATGATTCGGTATGCGCAGCTGCAAGGGGATATATACAGTTTAGTGCGTCAATATGCGATCAACAGAGAGTTTTGTCCAATTCGATTTCGGGGAATGGTATGCGAAACTGTCCTGTACGAAGTTAGTTTTATTTGAATTATTATATGAGGCTGCAGCCTTTAAATTTTGTTGTTTCATTTTCCCCTTCTGGTGAGGAACAGGAGCTAATAGAAGAGGGAGGCTGAACATTGGGCTATCAAAAGCCAACTTTGGTGCAACTAGATGCATCCATGCCACAGGTTTCTTTCTAAATAGCTTAAATCTTGTTGTTTTTGCTTTCAAGACTATTTGTTGGGTTGCATGGACTTTTTTAAAATGTAGAAATGAAAATTTATTATTAAATATCCTCCTTTGAAATAAGTTGCTTTATTGGAATTTCTGCAACAATGAGCTTGGAAGTTTTAAATTGAAATGTGGCAATGGCTGGGAGTGTGATATGTTTGATGAAGAACAAGTGAACTCTTGATGCGTCATACGTGAAGATATTATCTCTTCTGTATACTTTATTTGCAATTTAGTTGTGAATCATTCATAAAATAAAGAATTTATTGCTCCAAACTTGACACATTATGGAATGAAAAGCAGCCCAGACAGCAGTTTATTGTGTTCTTTTCAAGATGAGACGATAAAGTTGGATTTTTGTTCATCTTTCTCCTGGTCCAATGCAAATGAAGCACTGAATTCATGTGATTTAGGTATATAACATGTGGGTTATCTTGTATACCTGTTGGCGTTTTATTTGGTGCAGCTCGATGTTTTTTTTTTGGTGATTAGCTTGGTCTGCACTGTTTGTCCAACATGGTTCTGATGACCCTTAGCATATATGCTTAAGTCCAAGCTTAGGTTCACTGACTTTCCCTGTTTTTTTTTTAAGGTTTTAAAATTTTAATTATTTTGGCTTAAGTTCATTGCCTTGTTCATTTTTTTAAAAAATGTTTTCCGTGGTTAGCACACATGTCAGCCAGAGATTATTACGAGGTACTTGGCATAAGTAAGAATGCAACTGCATCTGAAATCAAGAAAGCTTATCTTGGGGTATGTCTCTGGTGATCTCTTCTTCTGGTACCTAGGCTTTTTAGCAGGAGTTTGACTAGCAGAGTTAAGTGATCAAAGTCATCAACTTACTTTAAAGTTTACTCCATTCCATGCATTATACAACAGCTTGCAAAGAAGTTGCATCCAGATGTGAATAAAGATGATCCAGAAGCTGCAACAAAGTTTCAGGAAGTTCAAAAGGCTTATGAGGTATTTCCACTTTGGATTAATTTCACATACTTTGAAGTATTGTTATGAGGTGAATGGATTATAAATATTTTTTTCCTTTACAATTACAGGTTCTGAAAGATGATGAACAACGCCAGACATATGATCAGGTCTTGCATATGTTATGCATCATTTTTCTATCCCTCACACTGTTTCTGGAAACTTAGTTGCTACTTTAACATGGTGCTTATAAAAAATACATAAATCATTCTTTTAATTGCTTGTGACAAATAAGTTAATAATTTGTTAGTTCATCCCAAATTTTAAAGGGCAAAACATGCCTGGTTCACGTTCATTCATGTTGAGTGGATATTTGAAGCATATGTTGAAGTGGATTACCTTTTTATTCTATTTTAATTTTTATAACTATTTTTGAAATTTATTTCTTCACTTCACCACTGAAAATAAGAGCTATGGTATATTTATACAACAATCATATTTACACTTACCCATCAGAGCAATGACATGCTCCATATTTACCAATTACCAAGAAACCTGATTTTATTTTCCTTCATACTTTACCCTTTTTAGTAGTGAAGTGAATTGTAACCTTAAGAGGGGATAGAGTCAAAGAAAAGGCTTGGCCATATATTTAAATGGCTAAAGGCTTTCTCTCTTTGCTATATAATTGGGGAAGATAGTAAACATATTATTTTCTGTTTCTGTTATATACCTATATGTTGCATTAACTATCCATTTCTGAAATTATTCTATGATCTCTACAGTTCACATATGTTCATGCTTTTGTTTAGTTTGCACAACACAGGAAGTTCACTGGCTATTATATCCCATGAATGCTCCCTTTATAGTTTTTTACTCATAAAAATATGATGGTGACATGTTGACGTGACAGCTTGGTCATGAAGCTTATAATAGCATGAAGGAGAACAGTGGTGGTGGTCCTGGTGGAGCTGGGCCTGGTTTCGGTGGCTTTCCTGGTTTTGAGGAACTCTTTAGAAATTCTGATGTAAGGAATTAAGCCAAAGTTTATATGCACTGTATTCATTTACCTTTTAACTTGTACTGCCTGCTGTTCATATGTTATTTGTAAAACATACTTGTGTTCTTTTGAATTCCTACTTTTTTAATAGGTTGGATAATTAACCATGGCATGCAAAGAGTGAGTAAATATATAGGGTGAACAGCATACCCTCCTATTTATCTTTTAATTTACAAAAGAAAAAAAATCTTAGGGCATTGTTATAAATTATAAAAAGAAATCTGTTGTGTTAAAATGTCCAATAAGGAAATCAAATAAAAGATCCTAATTACTTGAGAGAGTGAGTGATCTTTTCAACTCAATCACTCTGAGATGGATGTTCTTTCAAACTGATTGCACCTTTTGGGTTTGATCCCATATCACATGAACCTGCTTATCTTCATACAATTTATCATGTCCTACTACTTTCTTGTGTGTAGTCAATTTAGCATTGAAAGTTGAAACTAACTTTTCATATCTTTTCCATGTATTGGATGGATATCAGATTTTCAACTTCATGAACCAGAGGATGGGTGGCGAAGATATCAAGGTGTTGTCTTTATTTTTTCAAATTACAAATATAATATATAGTATTTATTTTATTATTATTATTATTATTATTATTATTATTATTATTATTATTACTTTTAATGGTTTTTATTATTGCTGATATTTTGTCACAAAATCCTCTTTGCAGATTTCTGTTGAACTATCCTTCATGGAAGCTGTCCAGGGTTGCACCAAGTCTGTATCATTCCAAACTGAATTACCTTGTGGTGCTTGTGGTATGCATGTCTTTCTTATGGTAGCATTCAATTAGCATATGATTCTCTCTTGAATGTACCTCAGAGTTCTTTGGCCTTCATTATGCCATAAGTCTGTCTTAAGTCAATAATCATCACAAACCCAATAGGAAGGCTACTTGTATACTCATGTTTTTAATTTTCATTTATAGGTGGAAGTGGTGTTCCCCCGGGGACTAAGCCTGAAACTTGTAGACGTTGCAGAGGGGCTGGCATGGTGAGTGTCTTTTGCATTCCTATAATTGTTATTGCAGTGGGATTTGGATATCTAAGACTCTAAGAGTAACATCATTACCTTGCCCTCTTTCTAGGTGATTCAGCAAAACGGTTTCTTCACGCTACAGACTACCTGCCCGCAATGTAAAGGGGCTGGGAAGATTGTATCGGTATGATATCACTGAATTACCATATAAAAAGAATCCACATTTAGTAGTCATTCAGGTGCCTCATGAAAATAGTGGTGGTCTCCTATCCTGCATTGATGTGTCTGACCATTGTTCTAAGAATACCAATACTGGCGTATACTATTTTTTGCAATTGCTGTTTGTCTGTTGTGTGTTTAAAGAGTGAACAACTTGTTTGTATGTGACAATCATATGTACTGACATTTCGCATTTTTGCCACTGGTGAGTAGAGTTTCTGCAAGACTTGCAAGGGAGAACGAGTAGTGAGGGGGCAAAAAACTGTGAAGTTGGATGTTATGCCAGGTAACTTGTGATTATTGACCAAATGATAACATTTTTTCCTTGTACTCTTTACAACCAAATTTCAAGCAGAACTATAGATTACTGGTTAAGCTCTCCGTTATATTAATGAGTAAGAACAGGTGTATGCTTGGACTTTAATTGTATCCATGGGCTTTAGATTGACCAGTGACTAATTTACAGCAAGATAAATTTTCAATATTTGAAAGTGATCATCCACCTCTTTGGTTTCTTCAATTTGTAGTCATCACTAGTGGGAGGTAGGTCGACTTTAGGTAATATCTACCTAAACATCAAGGTGATCTTGCACATGCATACTGACGGCAATTGACACTATGTGCAAATGGGTGTATATCACAACTGTAATATTAGTTATGCCATTTATCTTATCTCTATGCTTATTGTGATGTTTGGTATGGGTTTTGTTATTACTCTTCTACAGGAGTTGACAATGATGAGACTTTGAAAGTATATAGGAGTGGTGGAGCAGATCCTGAAGGCAATCAACCGGGTGATCTTTATGTCACTATCAAGGTTTAGCTTCTATTATCATTATCAATGTTATAACCCCACCCCTAATCTGCAGTGTTTTGATGCATATCCAAGTGCAAATATATTCCTGATGTATTACCAAGATTCCTGATATATTTCAGGTTAGGGAAGACCCTGTGTTCCGGAGAGAAGGATCTGATATCCATGTCAATGCTCATCTGAATATGACACAGGTGGGGTTTTCGCTTTGTACACATATGTACAATGTACTTGATTTGTATTAGTGTTCTGCTTCAATTCAATTTTCTCAAGCTGCCTGTATCATGGACCTTTCACTTCTAGATTGCCTAAGTCAACCGGTAATTTCTTGTAGGCAATTTTGGGAGGGACAGTCCAAGTCCCAACTCTGACTGGGGATGTTGTTGTCAAGGTATGTCTGAAACTCTAACATGAAATTATGGTTTGATTATTCATTTTCACCTCTTTACGATGGCTCATTTTAAAATTGACGGGAACATGTATCCTCTTTTGTCATTGACACATTTTAAAATGCATATCTAACATCCCTTACAGTGTTTGAACACTAGTGAAGTCCCTGAATTTTAGCTCCTCCATAGTCCAATGGTGTAATTGTGGATGTGTTCTTGCTTATATAACCTTCAATCCATTGGCCTCTCTCATTTGCAGGTACGCCCTGGCACCCAGCCTGGCCAAAAAGTTGTCCTGAAACAGAAAGGTATTTATGGTGCACAAAATACAACCTCCATTTGTAGGCTGAAATCTAACCCCTCATTGCCATTGCTCATTATAGCTTATGAAGTATATGAGTATTATCAAACATATATAAAAATCTCAGCAGTATATTGGGACATGTGGTGTTGGAATAAACTATGATTTATTTCATTCTGGTCTCTCTGGCCTGTCAAAGACAACTACTCTCCTAGTATTCAATATTCATAGCTCACAAAATATTCACCAACTATTTACCTAGCATAGTTTATGTAGGAGCATTCACTTAACCTGTGCTATAAGTTTAGAGCTAATGTCTTTTGGGTGTTTGTGCAGGGATTAGAGCAAGAAATTCCTATTCAGTGGGAGATCAGTATGTTCACTTCATTGTCAGCATTCCAACGTATGTGTTCTTTGATTGCCATTCTTTTCTTTTCGATTCTTTTTGGTTTCTTTTAATTCATCGCACTAGAATTTGGAGGGGTTTAGAACATAAATTTAGTATGCTGTAGCAGTTAAAATTTGTAATACAATCTTTTGGTATTGACAACATACAGATATGAAGAGGTTGTTAATGACGCATTTTAACAATTTGCTTCTCTCTATTTATCATGATGCAGGAACTTGACACACAGACAGCGGCAGTTGATCGAGGAGTTTGCGAGGGAAGAGCAAGGAGACCACGAGAAGGATGCTGCTGCAGGAGCCTCTGGGTAGAGCCAATAACTCGGGTAGATATAGCGTTAGAATCCTGTCAATGGATGCCATAGAAATTTTGGGTCCATATTTACATTTTTGGTCTTTTTGGGGCAAATTTGTGGTAAAGCAACCTTAGTAAGCATAATCAAAGCTGAAAGCTTTATGGACATAAGAAATAGTGTGGCATTTGATCTGTGCCACATTTTGTTGTATAGATTGAACATCCATAGTTATTCTCAAAGGAGTTATTAATTGCATAAAATTAAATCTGGCATTGCAGTTTTAGCTTCTAGGAACTGAGGTTTAATGTTTTCTTGCAATTGACATGAAGGGAATGATTGGAAGCTAAACTGTATTAACCAGTTACCACTGTTGTGTAACAAACCAAATAAAAGCACAAAAACATCATTAAAATAAATGAATTTCAACACCAGGTAATCTCACTTCAAGTTGGCAAAAACTCATAAATAACCCACATTGTCTACAGCAAATTATTCTGTGGACCCGGATTCAAAAATACACAATTTATATATTGAATGTTTACAATTTTACATACTAAATGTTCACAATTCAAATTATGAATATTCGTAAATTGTATATTTTGGATTCGGATTCACCTTGCAAGGTGGACCCTGGTCCATAGTATAAGTGTATAACTACTGAAAGCTTCCTAATTGGGTCGTTATTTTGGGCTTATAAGTCTTAAGTGCTTGAAATATAAATTAAAAGCCCAAATATGCTTAAGTGGGCCGTATCATAAGACTTAAGTGGGCTTGATTAAGATCCGAAAATGGCCAGTCTTTACTCTTTCTAACTTCCATTGCATTCGCTGCTGCAACTCTGCAAGACTTAGCGGGAAAGAAGAGAGAGAGAGAGAGAAGGGGAAGAGAAGTTAGGGCACAGCTTTTGAGCTCCGAAAGGTAATGCTTCAAGCTTCTAATCTGCTCCTCATGTGTCACTAAGTCCATTGTATGCATTTACTGTTGCTTTTGCTTCCTTATTCTTTTCAAAAATTAGAAATGAATCTGTTAGGTTTTTGAAATTCCGACTTAATGTGTATGAATTTACTGCATTTTCATGAATTTTGTAATTTTTGCAGGGTGTTGTTTTGCTGTTTAACTGGGGAGTATTACAGCGTATTCGTGTTTGATCGAATAAAAGATCAGAATGGTAGCACTCTTTGTTCTCTTATACACGTTTATATAATTTTAGATAAAAGGTCGAAATATGAATGCAAGATTTGAAACTAATGAAGGTCTGTTTGAATAAACAGCTTAATATAACTATATAAGTGCTTTTAAGGTAAGGACTTCTCAAAAGTTGTTAGTTATGGAAATAAGCTCGACATAGCTTTCACCACGCATAATTATTTTTTATTTTTTATTTTTAATAAGCCTATCCAAACTCTTTACAATTGGCACAAATGTTTGCATAGGATTATTCAAATTGGCCTTATGAGTTGAACTAAACTGCTCATTGAATCAATATGAATAATTTGAGTTGGCTTAAAGAAATATGAGATTGAGTACTGAGGAGCTTTATTTATGCGCTTTTTAGTAAATGTATCAGACTCTAAAGATGTTCTGAGGTCCTAAATATTATAGTTCTAGACTTCTAGTTATTTAAATATGATTTAATTGTATTGTTAACCCCTTGTATTGCATCTCCAAATGCATATTTTTTTTCTTAAAAGAAGAAAAGAAGCATCAAATTTACTGTAATCAAAAGGATGTTAATTGTGACAACCATTATGAAAATGGTTTTAAGCTTTATATATGTATGCCCGTGTGCTTTCTGATTGTGCATTTGTGCATGAGCTACTAGTCGGGATCAGAAACAAAAATCTAGAAATAGATGCAGAAAACAATTTCAATTATTTATGTTTGTTGCTTTACATTAAAGGCCTGTTGTTTGTTTCTTTCCTACAGTCAGGTAGGAAAGAAACAGTTCTAGATTTGGCAAAGTTCGTTGACAAGGGTGTGCAAGTCAAGCTTACTGGTGGCAGACAAGGTTAGTTGTTTTCTTTTATTTCTAAGTTTTCCAGAAGCCAGAAATATACTTGCTTTGATTTGTTGTGTTATACTTTAGTTGCATACCTTAGAATTAAAGACGAGTATGAAAGAGAAAAGAATACAGAGGATCCATGTGAGGCATATATGGGAGCACTGAGATTATTTTATGTCTTTGTGATTACAATTCACCACCATGCATTGGTTATATTATGCTTTATAATTTCATTTTGCAGTATGAAGCTTAGTTCTGACACATTGCTTATTTTTCTTCTGTTCACAGTTGTAGGAACACTAAAAGGCTATGACCAATTGCTGAATCTTGTCTTGGATGAAGCCATTGAGTATCTTAGAGGTAATTTTTTTTTTTGGCTAGATATAGGGATAAAGGAGAATATTAAATTTGATCTAATTCTTCTTGACTTCAGAAGAAAGTGATGGGGGAGGGATGTGCATACCATGGGTCTTTACTTTTTGTAGTTGACTACTTGCTGTAATGAATCATTTGCATGCCTCTTTAAATCCTTGATGTTTCTCAGACCTCAGTTCTCACCAAGGTTATATTGAATTCACTTTAAATCATTTGTACTGCATTATTATTGGAAGAATGATAAATTGTTTTTCTCCTCTGGTTCTTTATTCTGGCAAAGTGGAATATTATGTAATAATTGTTTAATTGGAAAATTTCATTCTAAGTATACATACTATATTTGGAGTTTGATTGTAACGAATATTTTCATCTTTCCTGTGATACTAAAAATGGCTAAACAACTTTTGGTGCAGATTCTGATGATCCTCTGAAGACAACAGATCAGACACGGCGTCTTGGATTAATTGTATGTTATGCTCTCTCTGTTTGTTTTCATGTGTGTGAAGCTTTTGTTGCTTAACAGTTTGATATGTAGCATAGGTTGTAGCTAATACTGCAGCCTGTAGTAACCATGCTATGATATTATGCTTTTATTTCCTTTTCTCTTTGAGGTTGGGAAGGAGGAAGGCTTTAGTCGAGAAGTGATCTGATTACCCACTTTCTAAAGTATATATCAGAATTTCCATTAAACTTACAGTGGTACTTACATCAACATCTCATCAGATGGCAGGAATTTAAGTTCGAATATGGATTGAAACTTGTAAACTTCATTAACAACCCAGTTTGATATATGTATTTTATTAATTACCTATCTCTAATTTCAGACTCCATGTTGGTACGTACGTTTCTGTGTCTGTTTTCTGAATCATCCTGAAACAAATCAGCCATTTTTGAATTTATCCATTACAGCCTTGATTCTGTATTGTAAAGAGTTCTGCATTGTAACCTTTTGAAAATTAACATGCCTAGTTGTATTTATATATGCAGGTGTGTAGGGGGACTGCAGTTATGCTTGTGGCGCCAACTGACGGCACAGATGAGATCGCCAATCCTTTCCTCCAGCCCGATGGGGCATAGGGCCGCCATGAATGTCACATCTATTTTGTAAAACGGTTTGTGCTTCGTGTTTTTTCTGTGTCCTTAAGAACTAAGATAATCTCGAAGGCACTGTCATGGGCGAGGATAGCCTTTATGTATATCCCGCCCAGTGTGGTAGTCTTTTGCGTTAGACAACTGCTTTCATCAAGGCATGATATATAGATGCTCCTTGTATTGAAGAACAGACACTATAGTTGTATTGATGCATGAAAAATGTTTTCTAATATCAACTCTTCTCCCATCTTACACTTCTAAAGGTTAGTTAGTTCTTATTGTTTCATAGGTATGATAAAGGGTTATATATGAAGGTGAGAAGATGAAATATTTAATCTTGTGACTTGTGCAGTTGTGCTAAGCCGTTTGCCAATTAGGAGTTAGTGGATTGATTAGCAGTTATTGGATAATGGATTTTGGTAAAGTTAGTTTATGATTAGGGAAGAAGAAGAAGACATGTTAAAATTATCTCTTTGTTTGGATTTGGGAGTATTATTTAATATAGTATTAGTTCTCTACAAATGAGAATTAGTTTGAATATAATAAAGATTTAAATGTGTCTTCTATAGTTAGGGTTTACTAAGGACATCTCGTGATATAACAAAAAAATATATATATAAAATTGGACAAAGTGTGTATATATACCTAATTTTGTCCCTTATGAATAGGGGTGGGCGTAATTTGAATTATCTGAATTAACAACCCGAATCGTTGTTCCTGCTCCGAAAAATGTAATTTAATTCTTTACTAGACATTGACGAATGACCACTAGTGCAGTAAGCAAGAAGTGCTCCACTAATTCATATTGAGTTTATTGACTTAAGACAGCGTAATTTTCTCAAGAAAAAAAATAAATAAATTAAGGAGCATTTGTTGACACTTTTATTTTGAAGATATATAGAGTAACATGTTACTTAAAACGCAGAGATAATTTATTTAGCGTTGTGCAAGCTATGTGCCTATGTGCTTCTGGTTCAGAATTATATATGCATAAGTTCCTGTCCAGAAATCTGCAGATCAGAACACAAATTAAATAAAATGCATTCAATTCACATTTATATGAATAAAGATTCACAGATGAATAAGGATCATCTTATGCGCTTAACTGCTCTCGAGATTACAATATTTGGAGTTGTCCTGTAAATTTTTTTTTTGAATGCAAAATTTGGACCATTTCTCGATTTGTGCGTGTCATCTTAGCGCAGGGGTCATGCTAATCTTCTTTGTATCGTTCCAATTTTATCGGATGTCCCCGAAGGGCTGCCCTGTAAAAGTTTAATTGAGTGAAATATTATGATTGATTAACTCAAAATATGACATATTTACTGTTTAATTAATTCTTCAAAATCTCCCAAGTAACATGTAATATTAGTAAGATAATCATCCTACAGTAACTTCTGTGCACATTGTGTGCAAGTTCTGTGCATGTCTTGTTAAACAACAAGAACGACATTCAATTTACACTGAAATATATGAATAAATTTATGATTCACAAGTGATCACATTATTTCCTAGCTTGATTTATTCTAGAGTTTACATTATATTGTCTAAGCATTTTTGGAGTTGAAATCAGAACAAATGTAAAAGAAAAAAGAAACATTTTTAGTTTGCGCGTTTTGAGAATGCGATTATATTTAAAGCCAGCTATTTAAATCTCCGATCCGCCGATTAGGGTTTCACTACAAACCCTAATCGCCGATCTGCGTTGCTTCTCAATCTCCTTTCTCTCTTCGTTTCTCACTTCGCATCAGGCTTCATTTCTTCCAATCAGGTAACATCTTCAACCAAATTTAGTTTTCTACTACATTTGTTTATTTGTTCAATGATTTTGTACTTGATTTGTTTGTTTGTTGTTTTTTTTGTTCCACTTTTTTGTTTGATGATTCGTTTAATTTTGGGTGTTACTTTGCTCCTTCAATCACTAATTTTGGAAATTAATCTATCTACTTCTACATTTGCCTATACTAAGATTTTATTCACAATTTATTTATTTTTATGCTAGACACGATTGGAAATTTAGGATTTCTAGTCAGAAACACGTTTCCGGCCACTTTTAAGACCGGTAAAAGTGTTTCTCATTATCACCGATTGCCAGTTAATGTGATCGACGTTACCAATCACCTTTTTTCTTTTTCATCCCCGATCTTGTTTCTCGTTATTTTTCTTTTTTAAATAGGAAATTTTTTTAAAGATTTTTGATTGGGTGTCAAAAATTCCTACCACCGGCAAAAGTGGTAGGACATTACGTTTTTCACAAGTTATGAATTTTTTCAAAAACCTTTAAAAAGTGGTCAGATCGAAATTCCAATAGTCTTTGTCAGATGGTTGTAGATTCAAACTGCTACCACAAGCTGTGCTTGACAAATTGAAAATAAAACCCTAAATTTTCATCTACTTTTTTGGGTGGTCGAAAAATGACAAATTTTTCACAGTAAAGCTAAGTTTTGAGCGTTACTTTAATTTGAGTTATTAAAAAGAAAAAAAAAAGAATCGAAGTTTTAAAATCTCTATTGATTGATATTTGATACAAAATTATGTGAACTATCTATAGAGTGTAATAGGAAATGAGTCGAAAGATTGTACTATTAAAAACTTAAATTTAATCAAATTCACATCCAATCCACGATTAATGCACGCATTTGATATTAATCAAATTTACCCATATAAATATTTAGTGTTTTTTTTTACATTGATTTATTTGGTTTGTATGTTAATAATTTAATTTGTCAATCATGAAATTTTTTAATTTTAATTTTTTTTGTTTTGTGTTAACCCATCATGTCACAAATTGCCAAGGCTATCATTGAGACTCAATTGTATAGAGATTTTATAACTCTTTATGGCAGGTGAATATATTCAATGGAGCTTGGCAGTGGATCCAACACAATGGAGGTCCAGAACAATAAGAGAAAATCCAGAAGCAATGATAAATTGGAGTTTCTTGGATGGGGTTCAAAGCCATTGATAGAATTTCTCGATTCAATTGGCAAAAAATCCAAGCAGTATTCTCAAGAAGATGTTGATGCCATAGTGAAGAAGTATGTGACTTCTAACAACCTTATGGATCCAAGAAAGAAGAGAAAAATCGTCTGTGATGAAAAACTCGAGAAACTGTTTAGGAAGAAAATTGTTTCAACAAGCAGTGTTTATCATTTGCTGGAGGCGCACTTCAGAGAGAACCATGATGATGATGATGTTAATGAGGCTCAGGATATACCTAAAACCAGTTTTGCCGCCATTAGTGCAGAGAACATTAAGCTTATATTTTTGAGGTTGGGATTTGTTAGGGGCCTTTTGAAAGAAAACCCAGAAACCTTTCAAGATAACATGGTGGGTAGTATGGTTAGAATCTCTAAAATGAATTCTAAAACAAAGAAACGTTCATACTATCTTCACCAAGTAACAGGTATTTCTGTCAAGTGTCTATATATCGTCCTGCAATTCCTTAAACCTCTTTCTGTTTCTTTCTGACAATAAGTTTGAATGTTCTTACAGGTGTAACCCAATCTTCATCAGGAGAACCGTACCTTCGGGTCTCGAATGTGGAAGCAGAAGTTCCAGTATCTGAGTTATCAGATAGATACTTCACAGAGGTAAAAAGGGTGCATTCCATTTTTGTTTGTTGTTAGGAATTGGTGCGATTCCGATGATGATTGTGTTGGCATATATTTGCAGGAAGAATTAGTGAAGTTTGATAAACATATGAAAGCTGGCCGGCACAAAAGGCTTACTGTTGTAAGATTTCTTTCTTGAACTCCTGCTGTTCTTTATTTGTTATTCTAGAAAGTTTAATTTTGGCTGTAACATTTTGGTTTTTCCATGGCAGGAGGAGTTTGAATCCAAAGCCCAATCTCTGCACAGATTTCTTACTAAGAATGTAAGTTCACAAAAAATTAAGCCTGCATTCTTTCATGAAAGAACAGAACTATATATACATATGTTGTGATGATTATTTGGTTCATCTTGTTACAGTGGATTGATAGAGAACTGGAGTCGTTAAAACAACGCATTTTTCTTGCAAATGAAAAGGGACGGAGGGAAGAATATCCTTTACATTTACTTTAATGATGTTCAGAATTATACATATAAATATGTGTGTGCATAAGTTCCAGCCCAGAAATCTGCAGAACTCAAATAAAACGCATTTAATTTACATTTATATGATTATCTTGTTTCCTTGACTGCTCTAGAGTTTACTATGTATTATTTAATGACGAAGAGGGAGCTACTTTCGACAAGCGATGAGCAAGAAAGATTGTTATCCCAGAAGCCATTTGTGGCAGTTGCAGAGCCAGAAACTGAAGAAACTTCCCCAACCACTTCTGAAGAAGAAGAAGAAGAAGAAGAAGAAGAAGAAGAAGAAGAAGATGATATCCAGAGAGAATTAGAAGCCAGAGCCAACTACACAAGAAAAATTCTTAGGACAGCTTCTCGATTTTCTTCTGCAGGTAACCTATGCTTATTTACTCTCCCAATCAACCCATAACACTCTTTATTTCCTCCACACATCACACACTTAATTTGCACCTCCATCAAACCCCTGCAGGATTGCCCTTCTTGGAAGACGACTATATCACATTTGGAGGCCCCAATGCTTCTTCCATGCGCCCAAACCCTGCAAGACACAACTACAATCAAGAATTCTCTGCATTAATGGTGAACACTGTGAGGGCTCAAGCCCAGCAGCTTCAACACCAATGGGCTCAAGCACTGCAGCAATTCCAGCAATTTCAGCAATGGGTTAAAGCATATCAGCAGCGCCAATCTTCCATTCGAGGAGGAAATGGAGCCAGTAGTTCAAGAACTCATCAAGGGCTCCCAGGAACAGTAGTTGCTGTGGATCCCATGGCTTTTGTTTGGCATGGAGCAGACCATAGAGGCTTCATTGAAGGTGGTCCTGTCTGCTTAAATCAACTGCGGATATGGTTCCAGCAGGGCCATTTGGGACCAGATTTTCGGGTATGGAAGATCGGCCAGCATCAATCACAGTCTGTTCTTCTCCTTCGTTTGCTCAACACCTTGAATTTACTCTAAGTAGTTATGGGCATATTGTGTGCAAGTTCTGTGTCTGGTTAAGAAACATGGAAAACATTTATTAATTTGTGCTAAAATATATGAATAAGGATGATTCATAGATGGAATGGTTAAATTATTTCATTGACTTGGTTTAGAGTTTACTTTATGTTGTCTAAGTGCTAATGACAATGGATTCTTCTCACTACTACAAAAATA